GCAGGTAGAGTTGTTGGGTAGAAAAGACTTTGTATGTCTCGTCCGCCACAAAATCTCCTCATTCTGCATGCACAGTGCAAGGGACATGCTCGGTATCGCTAAGATGGCATGAGTTTGAAGCAAGCGACAGGAGAATGAAACTCCAGCTCGTATGCACAGTAGTCACATTACCACTCAATGGCTAAAGAAAGAAAAAAAAAACATTGTGGAGAAGTAAAAGGGACCATGGACCTTGCCTCACTGGAGGAGGCCAAACTAAGTGGTAAGATTGCCATAAAGTGCAAGTGTACCTTGCATACTTGCACATGATGGGTCCCAATAATAATGCCACAGCAAATAGATGATGTGAAAAGGCAATGGAGATTGAATGAGACTGCAAGCACAGATTAAGAGAAGGATTCAAAAAACTATTAAAAACATGATGTTCAAAACTGAATGATTCTAAATCATTGGAGTCAATGGGCGAATGTATGATGGTATCAGGTTGTTTTTAGTGATTTTAAGAGCCTTTAATAACTACCAAGTGTTCTTTTGTTTGTGGTTTATCTAGTTTGGTGTTTTAGGCATGAGTTTTGCATTCATTGGTGAGTTGGATTTGGGGAATTTCGCATGTTCACTGTTCATCCAAAAGGCAAACTTATGGAAAATGTTTGGCCAAGTAATAAAAGCAAATCCCATAATGCTTTGCCTGACCGGTGAACTCTTGTCAGGTGACAAAATTGTGGCTAATAATAGGGCTCTGGAAATGTGCCAGCACCCTCCCTTTAAAATTCAGCAGCTCTCCCAGTATCCTGTTCTCTGTGTGTGTTGGATTTAGTGAGGGAGAGACAGTTTGTGCTACTTGTGCAGTGTTTTACAGTAGTGTAACATGCCCCCCCTAAATAAACAAAAAAACAAAACACACACACCACGGCATTCTATGTTCTCTAGGAGCCCAGTGGAGGCATGTGTAGTGCCCTCTGGGTATCTCCTCTATAGCCATGGTTCTCAACTGGTGGGTCGCAACCCAAAAGTGGGTTGTAACCCTGTGTTCAGTGGGTTGCCGCGTGCCTTCCCCTGCCTAGGTAAGAGGCTCCCCTGTGCTTTGAGGGAGCTCCATCAATACATGCATTGCTTACAGCTCCCGCGGGTGCCCTGTAGAGGTGCCTGGACCAGAGCGACGTCGCATTCTGGTTCCTGACACCTCTACAGGGTGTGCAGTGCACGTATGGATGGAGCTCTGTCACAGCACAGCAGCCCACACTGGACCCCAGGCTGAGGATCCACTCCAGTTCTCATAAGGTAGGGAGACTGGGTGGACCTTAAACATTTTTTTTTTTTAAATTACAATTTATTTTGGGGTGTGTATGTATGTGTGGGAATGTCTGAGTGTGTGAGATTGTGACTGTGGTTGTGTGTGTGTCTGTCATTGTTTTTGAGTGCCCATTCACTCTAGTACAGTGCGCTAATTGAACAGTCTCGTGCTATTAACGCACTGTACCACGCAAACACACCTACCATGTGTTCTGGTGTAGGAGGTGCATTGAATGCATTTGAATGCCACCCTAAACGCACCTCCATCACGCAGTTTGATCGCACCAGAATGCACGGTACCACAATGTCAGTGCGGTGCGACTTGGGTCGCGACTTAATGACCAAGGACAAATGTGGGTCCTGAAGTTACAGATGTTGAAAACCACTGCTCTATAGAAATATGTAGAGAACACTAAGATTGAGGGCAAAAAGCAGCCCAACCTCTCAGCCAAACTCAACATTTGTCATAACTGTACTGAGGATGGTGAACATCTCCCCACCAGGCTCCAAAAGCAGGGGTGATCTAATGGACATGCTGGCCTTGCCTACTCCATCAAAAGCAGCGATCTTGTGTGATTGGAGCTGATCTTACGAAAAAAATAGTCACTGCTTATGCATATGTGTTTAATACCTTTAGTTTCCCAGGCATGCGACTCAACAGCTTCTCAGCATATTCATGGATTGGAGAATGTAAGTAAATATTGGTTGTGTGCCAGAGACGGTCCATCTGTCTCTTAACTGTTTCTGTAACTTTCCTAAAAATAAGAAAGAACAGTAACATTTGTAGCTGTAGTGTAGCTAGTCATATACCCTTATAACTACCACAATCCCATTCCTGCATGGTTCCAAGCCCTAGGAAAGGCAGAGGACAACAAACTGATGATGCTGGCCAGAGAGTAACTGCTGAGGTCTGATGTGGACCAAAAAGAACTCAGTGGTCATCTGTTTCTGAAAAACGTATTGATTGGTTTATCCAATTCTACTAAGATTGGCTCTAAAGCAGTGCTTCTCACACTGTGGTCTTCAAACAAGTGTTGTGAAGTTTCTAGTCATCTGTCCTTCTCTTCTGAAGGTAGTGATGTCTCTGCCAGTGGTGATCATTGCTTGGATTAAGAACATTGTTTACTTCTATGACTTTCCCCAGCCCTGACAAAACTGAGCATAACTAACACTAGGGAGGAACCTAGTGCAATGGGTCTGGTTTACTAAGGGTGATATGAGGTATAGTGAGGTGAAATTACATGAGCCTGGCCCAAATTGACTATAGTATGAAGTGAAGTCAATATGCATTTATATCAAACGTCCAATCATTTTAAAGAAAAAAGCTATTTTTTTCAAATTCTGCACATAGTTACATAGTATTTGGGGTTGAATAAAGACATAAGTCCATCAAGTCCAACCTATAAAGGTCCACGCTCAACTCATTCTTAGGAATACTTGTACCCCTGAATATTATGGTCCCTCAGGAAATCGTCCAAAAGTTTCTTGAACAATTCCACACTCTTAGCTGAAATCACTGCCGGTGGCAGTGAGTTCCAAACCCTAACCGCTCTTACTGTGAAGAACCCCCTTTGCCCCTTGTGCTGGAATTTTTTCTCCACCAATTTTAGGTTGTGGCCTCTAGTCTTTGTAATGGAGTTAAACTTAAAGAGTTTGTTGCCAATGTTGCTGTCACCATTGAACACCTTGTACATGCATCTTGACCCTTTTTTGAATATTGGAACTACCGTAGCCCTTCGCCAATCACATGGGACTCTACCAGTCATTAGGGAGTCCTTAAAAATGAGGAATAATGATCTTGTTATAACCTGGCTTAGTTCCTTAAGTACCTTGGGGTGCAGGTTATGTGGTCCCACTGCTTTATTTGCATTGAGCAGTTTAAGTCTTTGTTGTATCCCGGTTTCCGTCAACCACTGGGGTATATTTTGTGTTGAACTGGGAGTTTTATCATGTGTGTCAAACCCGTTTCCCCCCTGAGTGTATACTGAGGAGAAAAAAGTGTTCAGTGCCTCGGCCCTCTCCTTGTCATTTGTGACCAACTTCCCGTTTTCGCCCTTTAATGGGCCTATCTGCTCCTTTCTCACCTTTTTACTGTTAATATATTGGTAGAATTTTTTTTTTTTTTTTTACTAACTGTGGTGATATGCACATGATTGGATGTTTGAATGAACACTTCATCTCACTTTAAACGTCAGTAAAACAGGCTCAGATTAATTTAAATTCAGCCTACTTCACCACATTTGACAGAAAATCAGGTCCTACCTGTCTACAGAAAGGATAGATGAGGAACAGTTTTGAGTGTGGCAGGGTGGTCTGACATGGAGTGAAGAAAGACAAAAACAACGTGAAGGAAAATAGTGAGAACATCACATCTACCTGTAGGTGATGAGTTTTAAAGGGTAAGACTTGGACATACCATAGTCATAGGTGGCCCACTATGCTCTGGGACTTGGTTTAAAGTGTACAATGGGCTAGAGAACTTTGAGAACCACTGATCTAGAGAAATATATGATGCATTCTTGCCCAGATGCACAATGAAAAACCTGTGGAATCTGGCTAGAATGGATCATAAAACTAAAAATTAATGGTTATAGTGAAAGTCCAGCCAAAATTCCCCTGCAGCTTCCCAGACACCGAGGACTACGACTGTTATGCGAGGAATGTAAGTGGCAAGTGCTGCTGCCCTCTGTAACGCTGAGCCAGTCACAGAGAGATCTTTGTGATCCCTCCATCGGCTCAGTCACTAAAAAAACGGCGCCCGCTGTTCCACTGTTGTTGTTTCGGTGTTGCACTCTTGGCACACCCTGTGCGCATGTCTATAGTTTTAGGCACCATGGTTTCAGTACATTTATGCATTGTCACAGAACTTGTATACCTTGGTACAGAAATACTGACCCAATAAGGTCAGAGGATTAAGTTACAGTTAGGCTTTTTAGCATAAATACTAATGTTGAGGGCACTGATATGGGTTACATTTTAGGTTATGCATTTACTGTATGCTATGTTAGGTATTAGGTTAAAGACTGGGGGTCATGGCTGAGTGCTAGGCCAGGTTATAAGTAGTTGATGTTCAAGGGTAGGTTAAATATTAAATGACACTAAACTCAGGAGTCAAATCTTAAAAATACATTCAAGTACATTAACTATTAACAAAAATGTATCTTATTTGTGTATCACTCGGCTGTAGATCCTCAAATCATCTCTGAATTGGTGCTGACACTGTCCTTCCTTCTGGAGTGTGACTACTTTTGTTCCCCATGGTCCCCGTGTGTGTTGTACTAGAATCTCAATACAAATTAGTAAACTAAACAAAAGATTGTAGTCTATAACAGGAGCGTGCTTGGAGCGGTGGCTACTTTACAACACACACAGGGACCATGGGGAACAGCAGTAGCCCCCTCCAGAAGGAAGGACAGAGTCAGCACCAATTCAGAGACGATTTGAGGATCTACAGCCGAGTGATACACAAATAAGATACATTTTTGTTAATAGTTGGGGTACTTGAATGCATCTTTAAGAATTAACTCCTGAGCTTAGTGTCACTTTAACTTTATAAAAGGGAGAGGTTATACAACAACACAGTGTTTTTATAGGGTATAATACCTGTAGGCCCACTCTGTAACTATTTAGTGCGTGCGCTGTCTTTGCTTGAAAACAGTCACTGTCTGCCCCTACACTTGACTCTTTTACGTTAAGAATACTTTCTTTACCCTTGCCCTCCCAACGCCAATGAATACTAGACAAAATAACTTTATTGGAAGGGCAAGGCCACTGCTTTATTGACGTAATAGTTTACATTAACTTGTACCAGTCACAGATAAACCGTGAGCACCCAAACATCATATCTTATAACACAATGCAGAAAATCTGTCTTTACCATCTGTTCAAGACAAATGTCCAACCATCAAAGAATTTCAACAAAGTTATCGTGGTAACGATTAAACTGGCAAGGTAAAAACATGCCAACAAACCTGTGACAATACAACAAATAAAAATTAGGGGAGGGTGGGTGGGGATGTTTGGCTTGCTGGTCGACTACCAAGAGGCCAGCAAGCCCACTTCGTCCCACGTTTAACAATTTGCTTGTCTCTGCCTTTGTAAGCTACCCCAATTAATAATGGATTACACCCTTTTACAGGAGGGATCTATTTTACTTACCATGTCAGTACTGCATGATTCCAGCGGTCAAGGCTTCCTCTCCTGACAGGTCAACGGATCTGCCATTCCCCTCCCCTTTAATTTCCATTGCTGGGTCCTTACTCATGGAGAACACAGCTATCCATTGGAGTATGGATTCAGCTCTTTACTACAAAATAAATGATGGTGTGTAAATGTATTAGGAATAGGTTATAGCTGGGGGGTTTGGGGAGCTGAGAGGAATGTCTGTGGGAACCCTGAGACCTCAGGACCTGCATCTGCTCAGGACAGACACATCCGTACGATATACAAATTCACTCTATAGATTAATCTCCCTTAAAGAATAGAGTAAATTGGGTCACAGAGGTATGTCTAGGTTTAGCAATTAAAAAGCTTTTTGAGTTTGTTGCATTACCTATTATAACCGGTAAAGCAAACCTTTTGCAGAACGCAGAATATATTGTATCTGAGCCATGTTAAAGCTTACATTTTTAGTGTCTGCATGACAGACATGTATTTGTAAGGCAGACATACCAAGAATGACCTGGGCTTGACCAGTGTTAGGTTTTATAGTGACATATACGTACGGGTGGCAATGTCCAACACTGACAGTAACAATCCCTCCAAAGAGATCCAGGTAACGCTTCCCCTCATGATCGAACAGCCATTGCATGTGTCCCTGGTGCGCCAGGATGGGCTTCTTGTAATAGGTCGACAATGCAGATAAGTTTTTCTTGCGGATGCTTAAGATTTCTTCATATGGAATACCCTACATGGAAAATAATACATTAAAGCCAAAGCTGATTTGTTTCATCATGCCAGTCTTGTACCTGTGGCAGTATGGTACTGTGGCCCAGTCCCAAGCTTCATCCCCAGCAAGCACACTTCATTTTACGGCTCATTCACACCACAATGCACATAAAAACACACATAAACATTCTTGCCATGTATATAACTGGAAGGATTCTTTCCAGAATCACCAGAATCGTTGCTTGCATAGGACTAAAATTCCCCATGATAATGCTGATTGGCCCAGTGGTGAACAGAAGACTGAGGCTAGGTTCACGCCTAGGCAATTCAGATGCTGAGCTGTTTTCGCGCGATTGTCGCACTTTTTCTATCGTGCGACTGTTCATTGTTCTTTGTAAACCACGTGGTTGTCGCTCTGTTTTCAATGCATAGAGATGTCTATGGGACCCAAACCGTGCGACAACCACCCGAAAAGAGCTCCTGCACCTTTCGGTCGCACGACAAACCTCAAAGGTGTGAACAGCCTTCATTGACTTCATTGCGAATCTGTGTTTTGCGCGATATCGCGCAACTCAAACAGCACGATAAATCGCCTAGGTGTGCACTGGCCTTGATGGAACGGTAAGTATATGCTGTGGAGGGGGGAAGGTAGATTAGGGCAAACCTGTTGCTCTCAATGGCCAAAGGAGAGGTGGAACTGAACTGAAAAAGTAAAGGTTTGTTATAGAAAACATCTAGAAGTAATTGTGTATCATTTGTATTTCCTTCTAAAAAATAGCAGTGCTCTTCCTGGCATGTGAGAGTGCCTAGGCACTCCTGTGCTCACAGCCTCATAGCTATACATCTGCAGTGTGAGTATATCTAAGGAACTGCTGTCTCTGACTGGTAGTCTCACAAGATTTGGAGTTTCAGATGATGTCACTGCTGTGCTGCTCACTGTTCTCCTTGCTGGAGGCTCTGATATAAGGAAGCAAAGCCCTGCCTCTACCAAGATGGCTGCCTCCACACAGACACACAATAGAGAATAAGGCATGGTAAGTCAGTAATGTGGAAAGGTCAGCTGCAAGGAGACCACAGGCAGTACTTGTGACTAGTGCCTTGCCCTCTGCCTGCTTTTTTGGGCAAAGTTTTCAGAGTTCAGTTCCTCTTCAAAGCTGAACCTCAGGCAGATATAAAACATACAATTCATGCAGCTATGTTTTCCTGAATACATTAGTAAGTGTATTTTTTTATGTGGGCAAATTCAGCATCTAGATTTGATTTGGTGTCAGCCTCCCGCTATCTTAATTAGGGATAGTGCATCCCTAATTAAGATAGCAGGAGGCTGACACCAAATTAAATCTAAATGCTGAAGGTATCGGAGCATTTGGGCTCGTACTCGCCCAAATACTCGGTGTCAGTGCGATACCGAGTATTTGGGCGAGTACGAGTACAAATGCTCCGATATCTTCCCCAATACAGAAACTTCCGGTTAGAAGGAGATTTCCTCTGACCGGCAGTGCCACGAGGGAACATGGAGCCAGCTTTTCAGCTAATCAGGTAGCCGGGCGGTGGTTAAAGGAGAACTATGACTTAAGGGCAAATAAAAATACCCCTTACCTTGATTGTAGTAGCATCGTTCCTTTTTTCTAAAGTCGCAGCACATCACAGATAAAACCCTCAAAACCTGTAGTAAATGGCCGTCTTCAACCCTGCTCCAAGCTCCTTTCCTCTTAGGGGGCGTTAACATTTGATCCAGCCCGCCCACGGCTTTTTTTTCAAATGATCTCATTGCTGTGGCCGCGCTTCCTCTCATCGTGCACAGCTGTGTTTTGTCAGCTCGTGCACGCTGGCATTTGTGAGCGGGAGGCGGAGTCTGAAGTGAGAAGGCAGCAGCAAGAGACGGACTCAGCCTCCCTGCACATTCAGTGCTCTTTCCCCTCTCTCATCAGCGATCCCCAGTAATTAGGATGTCAGCATAACACAGGGGGAGAGAGAGAGGATAAAGAGCCATCCCTCTCTCCATCATTTACCAGAAATGGGCAAGTCCATATATGGTGAATGATGTCACTGGGTATCCCTGCAGACTGGCAAGCATCCGATCAGCAGGGATCCCCAGTGACATCATTCATCATATATGGACTTGCCCATATGTGGTAAATGATGAAGAGAGAGAGAAGGCTCCTTCCCCTCTCTCTCTCTCCCTGCCCTGTGTGACGCTGACATCCTCAATTCACTGGGGATCGCTGATGAGAGAGGGGAAGGAGCCCTCTCTCTCTCTTCAGCATTTACTACAAATGGGAAAGTCCATATATGGTAAATGGTGTCACTGGGGATCCCTGCAGACTGGCAAGCATCCGATCTGCAGGGATCTCCAGTGACATAATTTACCATATATGGACGTTCCCATTTGTAGTAAATGCTGAAGAGAGAGAGAGGGCTCCTTCCCCTCTGTCATCAACGATCTACGATCTTTTTATTATGTCAGTGTCACACAGGACAGGGAGAGAGAGAGAGGGGGGAAGGAGCCCGGCTGGCACACGGGGACGTGCAGGTAAGGAGAGAGCTGCTGCGCATGTCCATATATTCGTGGACGTGCAGCAGCTCTCAAGAATCACTGTCAGTGTCACAGTGAGGAAGATCAGTGGGGAGGATCCCTTCAGACACGTCGGGATGTCTCCTCATTGCGGCGCTTAGCCCCGCCCACCACCTTAAATAAGGGTTTACAGCCTTACTGTGCATTTTGGTTAATTAGAGTAAATTACATAATTTACTTATTTAGCCTAAGGAATGCATTAATCAAGAAAAGATAGAACCCCATAGTTCTCCTTTAATGACTCACAGCCCGGCTTCCTTTTTGGCTGGGAAGACGTCTCCATGCTGTTTGGCCGTCTCCATGCTGTTTGGCCGGCTCAATCCGTATTGGCCTGGAAGCCAGCTTCCCAGCCAATCAGCATAGAGCCAGCCAAACAGTATGGAGCCGGCTTCCCGGCCAATCAGGAAGCCTAACGGCGGGTAATGACTCACCTACTGGCTTCCTGATTGGCCAATGAACACGGAGCCGGCCAAACAGCTGTTTTCTTGGAATTCAGCTTTAAATGCACTTTTACAGGATGTGTAGAGGAGAGTGAGTGTCCTGGTGTTTGATGAAGGTAAGCTGTCACTGTTTTCTATGACTGTATTATATTTTCTAGTTTCTGTTATCTGTATTTTTTAGTATAAGCTTAAAAACAGAAGTATACAATACTCAGAGCATTCCTGTATAGAGCTATAAATAACCATATCAACCACATCAAGAACCATCCAGTTGGAGTCTGGTACACACCTGAGAAAACTGGCTGCACATATGCAGAGTTCAAAGGTCTTTTCAGGGCAAGCTCATACTATAGTAGTTTATAATCTCTCTCTCTCTCTCTCTGCAGCTCAAGAGAATCTGTCACTTTGCACATTGGGTCAGTTCTCTTGATAGGGATTCTACTCGCCCACCCACTTATGCTTACCTTTGATTCCCTCCCTTGATCATTTCCTACTTTTACCTGCCTGGAAAGTATAACATAAACTAGGTGGCCACTCTATTTATCACCCCTTTTAACTATAACCCCAAATGGGTTTGTGTTGTTATTACATGTAGCAAACAGACTTTCAACTAGATCTCAAAGTCATCAGATCAAAGTCTGGAGAAGGACCTGTCTCAGTCAGTTTATGTTGTCTGTATCAACCAATCAGAATCGTCATTCACTATTTGGACCCGGGTGTCTATAGTGCAGCAGCTGTAAAATCATCTAATAGTTTCTTTAGATCATCCATAAGCGCAGACTTGACAACATTTTTAGCAATCAGAATCGCTGTCTCTAGTATAATAAAATGAAAGGAGAACATTTATTTGTTGCTATAAGGGACGCAAACTGCCTGCAGGGCCGAAACTA